TATATTGTAGTTCAGCTGTAAACATTTACTTAAGTACAAACAAACTTTTTACTTTAGCACTTATTTAACTATTGTTAAATGAATAAGGTTAAAATTAAGTTAAATTTAAAAAATTGTTAAGTCATAAAAAAAAAACATTACATAAAAACTAGCAAATGTAGTTTTTAACAGAAAGTCCATCTGAATATATACATTTAACTTTTAGTTTAAAAATTAAAAAAAAAGAAGAAAAACTTTGGGTAAACTTTCGTGTTTGTTATTGCGTGTTTTATGTGAACGTTCAAGAACTAACAAACGAACATTTGTTGTGAATATTAAGTAAACGTCAACTGCTTGTTTTTATTGAACGTTTGTATTGAACGCTCAAAAACTGTAAATCAGAGTGTACAAAAGTTGGTTTACATAACGTTTGAAGCGAACGCTACGAGAACAAAAATGAACGTTGTGGCAACGCTTCTTGAATGTTAATTTTGAAGTGTGTATACACAATTTTCTAAAACATTTACAGAACGATCACAGAACGTGCTCGAACATGCTGGAGCGTTTTGTTTTAGTTGATATATTAAAAAAAAACAATTGTAACGCAAATCCTAAAGATCTAATTAAAAAAAAAAATTATTTTAATAAGTGTTTTTTGTTCTCAGAAACAAAAGTTGTAATGGCTTCCTTTCGTGTCTTTTAAAAATCAAACCACACGTCAAATATTTTTTTTACCAAAAGATCTGGAACAACATTTTTTTAAATTCTGATTCACTCCCAACAAAGGCTGCATGCAACCACTATTAAGTTTGGAGTTACTAGAAAAAAAGAATAGAGCTATAGAGTAAAGAAATGGTTGACTGAAGATTTAAAAAATTAAATGTTGTAGGAGTTAGGAAAACATGAAGATGGGAGAGAGTTCCAAAAGCTTAAAGGGCGGGAATAAATGTTTTTAGTGCATGAGTGGAACAGATACAGTAAAAGAATGAGTCTTTGTTGAATGACTAGTCAAGCAAGAATGAGTTTTAGTTGATGGAACTAGAAATGTTTGCTTCTTTGAGCAGCGACCATGATAGTATTTGTAGAAAAGAGAAAGAGATGCAACTTTAAGACAATGGGAAAGATGCTCAAACTTAGTTGTCCAACTACGTTTACGATGTGTTTTCGGACCTTGAATAGAAGAGTAACTGCATCATTAGAAGAACAAGCCCAAATATGACAACAGTAATTCATGGAGAAACGAATAAGAGATTGTTCAAAGTAGAGAATAAAGTCAGAAAAAAATGGCAAGCACAATAAAGAGAGACAACCTTATTTACAAATTGGTTGTATGTATGGTTTCCATGAAAAGTCTGTAGTAAACGATAATCCAAGAAGACGTAAAGAAAAGGATATAGTGAGAGAGTTGTCATTCATTAAGATAGAAATGTTGACAGTTTTGCGAAAGTTGTTTACAGTAAGTAACTGTGTTTGTTTGTTTGTTTATAGTAAATAACTGTGATTAGTTAAAATTTACAAGTCAGTGTGAGCCCCACTAATCCGTTAGAGAAATAAGATCAGATTCAAGATCAGCTGCCTGTTCAAAGCGGTTCTAAGAGAAGACTTGGTGTTAAAACAGAAGTATAAAGTCTTCAACAATTTTAGATGTAAGGTTTTCAGAAAAATCATTAACGTAAATAAGTTAAAAAACAGGTCCAAGGATAGAACCTTGATGTACCTTATAAGTTACTGAAAATGAAGAAGACTGTTGGTCTTTGAGGATGACTTAATATAATAAAGCAATTATAAAAAAATGGTTTAATAATTTAAAAAACTTACCCAGATACACCATATAAGTATTTTTATGGAGAGTTTCACCATACACTATATAAGCAATTTTATAGAGTATACTAAACTTTATTTAAAGCTTCAAATGTGACAAGAATAATAACTTTACACTCGTCTTCTCCATTTAATGCACGACAATCTTTCCGTCACAGCAGTTAGCAAATCAGCCGTAGAGCAAAAGGAACGGCAACCGTATCAATTGTCTGACAATAAGTTATTTGACTCAAGATCGGATGTGAAAAGTTTGTTTATCAAAGAATCAAAGACCTTGTTAATAACAGATAGAAGACTAATCTGACCATAATTGGATGAGTCAGAATGTTCACTGGAGTTTTTAAAAATCGGAACAACAGATGCCATTATTCAGCAGACAGGAAAACAAGATTCAAGCACTTTTTAGATTTAAAATCGAAGAAGAGTTTAATTGAGATATGGTTTTAGCAACGGAAACTGGAGTGATTTAAATGTCTAAAAATGTGTTGACCTGGTTATTTGGAATGGAATAAGATCAAGGGCCGTCACGAAAAAAGTCAGGAAAAGAATCCCAGTCAGCTTTAAGGTAGTATTAAGTAATATTATGATAGGGTGAGTCCAAAAGAAAAAAAAAAGAGATAAAAGATAAAAAAAGATCACTGCATGTTCAGAACCACCTAAAGGAGAAAAAGGAGAAACTGAACAGAAGCTAGGATCTGAGACCAGACACAAATTAAGAAGTGAAGGTAAATGATTAAGGTTTTCAGGAAAACGAGTTACAAAATTAACTATCTGACTAAGAGATTAAGAAATGCAGAAGTTATAGGTATTAATGTTAGCAGGGTCAGTGTTGTAAGAGCCAAGTCATTCAGTATAATGAGCGTTAAAGTCACCAATAACAACATTATTGACATAGGTGTAAAGAGACCATGGTCAATTTGGTCAGAAATTACATCTAAAAGAGTTCAATCTTGGGAAGAAAGGAGAACAATAAAGAACAAAGAGAAAGGTGATAGAGTGAACAGGTGCTAAGCGGTAGTACATAATAGAATGGTCAAAAAATGGGAACCTGATTTTACATGAAACCACCTTGTCAAACTTAAAATTCTGTGACTGTTTGAGGCTTGCAGTCGGATGTGAATTTTACGTTTAACAAAAGTCAGTAGTTAACTGCAAAAAACAAGCGTAACCGATATCAAAAGACAAAAGTAAAAGCTTATTTTTATGCTACATTAGGATACCTTTTGGAACACATTAGGAATCACTTTTTCTGTTTAACAATGATTTTTGATTAGCAATACAATTTTTGGACCCTGTCTAGAAAAAGACATCATTACTAGAAAACCAACTTGAATATGACTATAGTAATCATATAGAGACGAAAATAAAATTTGTAAATCAGCAACAAATACAGTATAAGGATGCGACTTTAGTAATTGCAAGAATAACTTTTGATGAGTTAAGCAAGAATGACTTTTGGTTTATAAAACTAGAAATGATAGCTTGTTTGAGAAGCAATTATTACGTCATTTGTAGTATCTCTTTAAAAGAGATACGACTTTACGACGATGGGAGAGTGGTTCAAGTTTAGCAAATAGAGCATGTATATATATATATATATATATATATATATATATATATATATATATATATATACATATATATATATATATATATATATATATATATATATATATATATATATATATATATATATATATATATATATATATATATATATATATATATATATATATATATATATATATATGTATATATGTATATACATATATATTATCTTTATAAAGCTCTCAAGGAGGGATGAACTCATCTGATGTTTTATAAATCTAGATAAACTTATTACTTGGAATTTTTCTTCATTCTCTTTTGAATTTTCCAATTTTTTTAGCAAGTTTCATTTTTGGCTGTGTAAAGATGATGGTTTTTTTTGGCTGTGTATAGATGATGGTTTTGCAATGTTTAAAAATACTAACAGTCTTTAAAAAAAGTTTAATAACATTTAACTCAGATCTTCAAAAACAACAGTCTTATTATATTTACAAAACACAACACAAAAATCGTTAATTACCGAAGTATTACTTTAAAACTAAAGAACTGTAGTTTCTAACTTTACCACAAACATGAAAGTGCGTCAGCGACGGATTTTAGGGAGGGGGCCATAGGGGTAGTAGCTCCCCCCCCCCCCTTTTTCGGACTTTTTTTCAAAAATATTATTTTATAAATTGACTATTATGCAGAATTGGATTATTATACTGACGAATGAAATTGACTATTATACATAAATATAGGTATATGATTATTACATTAGTACAAAAAATTAAAAAAGAAAGTTACTTAAAAATGAAAATATGCGGAGTTTTTTGTATTTTTTTAAACATTTTTAGCCCCTTCCTTGGCGAATGATAAAACTTGTCCCTGAAGTGCGTTAAATGTCAGTGTTAACCACCTAAGAATTTTTAAATAGTTATCTTCCATTATTGAACATAGATTATCATTTAAGTCTTCCAGCAAAATAAAATTTGCACCTATATACAAAGAAATACTGACAAAATCTTAATACAGTATCAATCTCCAATATTGTCCTAGCTTTAATTAAATTAATACAGTAAAACTAATAGACACAAACAAAACAAAATATGATCTACCTTTCCTTTAAGTATATAATGAAATTTAACCAAGAATCATTGTTAGAAAATGTAAATAAAATGGTTTTTTAATGCAGAATTAGTAAGAAAGATTTGCTTTTACATTTTGCTACAGATTATATCAGTTTTTTTTTTTGCCATGAATATTGACTTGAGATCTCATGGCATTGCAAACCTTTAAATTTTTAATGGTTATTTTTGCGTTTTTTAAATAACATGCCTGAATGAATGACTTTTAGTAATTTTTTCAAGATAATTATTTTTACATCTGCAGTAAAAAGTTGATTCAGATTATTTATTAAAATTTTTTTCACCTATAACTCAAACTTTTGCAACTTTTTGAAACTAATGCGATTGTGTAAATGAAAAATATGTGAAAAATCTCTACTTGAGTCTTGAATATTTGCCTGACTGGTATTAAATTATTTACAATTGCATTTTTAATTATTTCATTCAACAATCTAAAGTCTGGAAGTTTCAATATAATATGAAAATAATAAATTTTTTTTTATATTGATTTTTGCGTAATAACAAGTTTTTAATTATATATTTTACCAAAGCATTCTTTAACTTCATAATTGTCATTGCAACACAAATGAAATGAGTCATGACACATCCTTGTTCTCTTTTTAAAGCCAATTCCATTTGATACATTGCAACTTGACCAATCACTCCATTGTGTCCATGAAACTAAAATTTTAAAAGCTATTTTTTCATATCGATGGGTTAAGCCTAAAACATTGCATGCCTATTTTAGACAGTTGTAAGAAAAATGATTTTAAAAGTTTAAATTCGGATACAAATTAAAATATTTACATTTGGTTATTATCGAATAACTCAAAATGGATATCTTCTTCACGTCCTATAATTTGGTTGACGGTAGAGGGCGCAGAGAGTGACATTTCAACATTCATAACTCAATATAGCCCGAATTTGGACATACAATACTTTAGAATTAACCCACCGATGTGTAATGATAAAAATCAACACAAATTTTATTAATATTTTTGGTTTATTAAAGTTTTGTTAGTTTATCTAATTTTAGTTTGTTTTTTATCTTTATAATATATGTTTAATCGTTAATAAATGAACTTTTAGACCAACTTTCATCGAATATTAAATCTTTTGTTTACATAGCAGTTTATGTTTTTGGAAAAGACGATGAAGATGATAACGATGACACTTATCTGTATTATAGTAACTATGGATATTTTACATCTGCCTTAGATCGTGGTGGTCTAAAAATACCCAGTGATACATTTTGATGTATGGGTACTTTCATATTTTCATAGAATGGGTTTTTTTAAGTTATATTTTACTTAATTATGTTGGAACATCAAACTTTTGTAGATATTCTATATCTTGTTTATTTCTGGGTATTGAATGTACTTATGATTTCACCATTGAATTTAAAAATTTTTTAAATTACAATTGTTGTCAAAAGTTAAACTTCTTTTTCTTTCGATTCACGTGGTAATTTAATTACAATTAAAATATCTTCGAAGTCAAATAATATACAAATATATTATTTGACTACGATTCACCTATAAATTGGGAATTTAAACCTTTTCAGTATTTGGGAAAAAACTTTTATTTGGCAAACTTTATTTAGAGAATCAGAATTTTTTTTATTTTTTTTTTTATTTTTTTTTATTTTTTTATTTGTCATTAAAAAAAAAGAATACAATGCCGTGTTATATAAATAAAATCTACATGACCGGGGCTAAAAGAAGACAATATTTGCCTTATCACTACACCCCGACGTGCTTTCATCAGCAAGCGTGTATAACCATTAAAATGTAAACATAAAATATAAAACTACTTTGTACCATTTAAAAATTATACACAAATATATACAAATATGTTAAGATCAGTTACTAATCTATAATCAAAAGAAAATTGTGAAAAAAAATAAATAAATAAAAAAATAATAAAAAAAGAAATCACACTTAAAAACTGAAGATAAGCTAATAGGATAATTAAAGAAAATTTAAATTGGTTAGACTAGTTAATAAGATAGTTGTTAAAAAAGAAGATAAAAGAATCTTAAAAAGAATTTAATTCATTAACATCGTTAAGAAGTTTTTGTTTGAGTTTTTGTTTAAATAGAGAAAGTGAAGAACAATTTTTCAGCTGGTTATTTAATAAAGTGTTCCATAATTTAGGACCTCTGATGGCAATAGAAAATTTAGTAGCCAAATAGTGTATTTTAGGTTGCTCGTAATTGTAATTTGAAAATCTTGTAGGGTACACGTGATTAATTTTATTGAAAAATGTATTAAAAATTATAGGAGTTAATTTATTATGTAGTTTGTACATAAAAATAAGAATTTGATAAAAGTTTAACTGAAGAACATTGAGTATGTGATGATCTTTGAATAGTTCTTTAGAATGTGCGAATCGACCTTTATTTGAAATAATCCTGAAAGCGTGTTTTTGTCTACTAAGCAATTTTTTAACTTTACTTGCATTAGAGCTGCACCATGCAATATTTGCATAGTTTATATAACAATGTATGAGGGAGAAATATAAGATTTTTAAGCAGTTTTGGTTTAAGATTTGCTTAGCTTTGTATAGTATGCCAATATTTTTCGAAGTTTTATTTTCAATTGTTCTTATGTGTTCTCTCCATGTCATTTTTCGTCAAGTATCACTCCTAAAAACTTTAATGATGACTTTCTAACTATTTTAGAGTTGCCAATGTAAAGATCAGGAAGTTTTAATGGAATATTTTCTTTATCGTGAAGTCTATGAAAAAAAGTATACTTAGTTTTATTTAAATTTAAGGACAATTTATTTGCCTTAAACCATTCCGCTAGATTTAAAATTTCCTTGTTTACTATTTTAAATAGGAGGTTGATATCTCCATTAGAATAAAATAAATTTGTATCATTTGCAAATAAAACTGAGTTTAAAATGTTTGAAAACTTATGGAAATCGTTTAGATAAATAAGAAATAAAAGTGGACCCAGAATTGAGCCTTGGGGAACACCGCAAGTAATAGTCAAGTATTCCGTTTTTATTTATTCTTGTGCTATGTATTGTTTTCTATTATTTAGATAACTTTTAAGCCATTCTAAATATATACTTTTAATACCATAACTTTTGAGTTTTTTTATAAGAATGTTATGGTCTACTGTATCAAAGGCTTTGCTAAGATCTATAAAAACTCCTAGGGTAAACTTACTTTCATCAAATGCTTTAAATATATCGTGAACAATATTAATAATGGCATAGTCAGTTGAATACCCTGGTTGAAAACCAAATTGTTTGTTATATAGAATATTATTTATATTTAGAAAAGTCAAAATTCGGTTATACATAATTTGCTCTTTCTTTGGAGAAGCAAGGAAGAATTGATATTGGTCTGTAATTATCAGGATTATATATGTCTCCTGACTTGAAAATAGGTATGACCCTTGCAATTTTTAGTTTTTCTGGATAAATGCCTAGTTTTAAAGAGAGATTAAAAATATGTAAGAGAGGGATTGTTAAGTACTTTATTGATTTTTTAATTATATTACTACTAATATTATCAAACCCCACACTTTTGTTTAGTTTTAAAAAGTATACTGAATCTAAGAGTTCCTTTTCAGTAATTTCATAATTATCCATCTTAGAGGTCTTATTAGGAGTAAAATATGACTCAAAGTTTACTTCAGTAGTTTCTTATTTCGACGCTAAAGTGGAACCAACACTGACAAAGAATTGATTAAGTGTTTCAGCAATTAAAGATTTATTTGTAATTTTTAGTTTTATAGTTTAGTTTTATAGGAAGACTATTTCCGTCATTTTGTTTCGTGCCAATTACTTCCTTAATTGTGTTCCAAGTTTTTTTTGGATCATTTTTATGTTTTATTAAATGCTCAGTATAGTAATATTTCTTTGACTTTTTGATAACCATCTCAAAAATACGTTTATAATTTTTGTAATTAGTTTCATTATTGAAAGTTTTTTTTTCTAGAAACTTGTTATAAAGTCGTTGCTTTTTTTTCGACGACTTTATAATTCCAGGCGTTATCCATGGATTTAATAATGTTTTTTTTTTCACACATTTTGTAACTACAGGAAAAGCCGAATTGTAAAGTTGTTGTAATTTATCAATAAACTTATCGTATGCCTTATCTACGTGTTCAATATGAAGGAGGTCACGTGTTCAATATAAAGGAGATCACGTGTTCAATATGAAGGAGGTCACGTGTTCAATATGAAGGAGGTCATCCCAATTTAAATCTGATAAAAGAGTTTGAAAATTTTCCATGGATTTTTCATTTATATATCGCGTATTTTTTTTAACTTTTTGTGCATAAATGTTATCACATTTTTGTGAAATAAGAAATACAGGGAAATGATCTGAAATGTCGCATTTAAATATTCCTGTTTTTATTTTTGATTTTAATTCATTAGTGACTATTTGATCTGGGTTTATTAATTAGTGGAATAAAGCCTTTCTGATATATGACGTTAAAGAAATTATTTATGTTTGTATTTAAATGAGTCATGTTCAGGTCAAGATTAAAATCACCTATAAAATAAATGCTTTTATTTTCGCTTATTTTATTTTTTAATTATGTTTTTAATGTGCTTTTTGAATTGTTTTATTTAGCCGAAAGGTGGTCTGTATAAAACGCGAATGATAATGTTTTTTGTGGTTTTATTTATTATTTCCACACATAGTGATTCACAATCATTAGCGGTGGAGCAAAAATCTTTTTTTAGCTTATATAATAAAAAATTACTTATAAATACACACAAACCTCCTCCTTTCTTCCCAGATCCTCTAAATTGATGAATGACTTTATAATTTGGTCAGATTCGCAGTCATATGTAAATAAAACAACTATAAACAAACCTTTTGCACCTCCTAACATTGAGTGCAATCCTGTCCGCTTTCTTTATGCTGTCTTTCTAACACGACTACTTCTGTCTTTCACTCTAACATTTCTTCGTTCTTCCAAAACTCGCTTTACTCTAGGTCCGTAGAGCGGGTTATGACGCTTTTTGGGGAGCCGAACCTGTCTTTGCGGTACCTTGGTAATGTGGCCTCTATATGGCAACTAGCCGGAGGAGGATAAACCACAATACCACTTTATAATTTGGTAGCTGAAAATTTGTATTTGTCTCTATATGTTCATCATTACACCATGTCTCGCTGAGACTAATAATTTTAAAATTAAATTTAACCTCGCACAAAAATTGTTTAAATAATTCAAAATTTTTTGAAAAACTCCTAATATTTAAATGTAACATTGAAAATGAATTTACATTTAGTCCTTGCATTATGATTTCAGATGTAGGGTCATAATATAAAGTATTATTATTTTGAAATACTTTGTTATTACTATAAAAATTAATATCCGGAGTTAAGTGTAACAATATCTTCATTCATGAGTAGGGTATTTTTTATAAACTGTTCAATTATTATTTTACTGAAAAAGAAAAAATAATAATAATAATAATGATAAGAAAAAAAAAAAAAAAAAAAATCTAAATATAAATGATAAAGTAATTAAGCACTTGCTTTGATTTTCCTAAATTTTATAACTATAAGTTTATCATATTTTATAGAGGAATATTTACCATTTTTTCTGTGTATCTTCATTTCTTCTAAGATGATTCACCTATAAATTGGGAACTTAAATTTTTTCAGCATTTAGGAATACCGCGTATTTCCAAATACTGAAAAAATT